GAGCGGCGGCGGCGGCGGTGGCAAGAGTGGTGGCGGCGGCAGGAGCGGCGGCGGCGGCGGTGGCAGGAGGGGCGGCGGCGACAGGAGCGGCGGCGGCGGCGGTGGCAGGAGGGGCGGCGGCGACAGGAGCGGTGGCGGCGGCGGCGGCAGGAGGGGCGGCGGCGGTGGCAGGCATAGGAAGGATGCCGGAATGCAATGGTGGGGCTGTATCGATGCCATGATGCATGGCGCTAATACTGGGGAGCTCTCTGCCACCAGGCCTTGGTGATGGCCTCTCTGCTGCTGGTGTGCTGCCATCGTTGTTGGCAGCAGCAGCAGCAGCAGCAGCAGCAGCAGCAGCAGTAGCAGCCACAGGGGCGACACCAGCCGCAGGCAGCAGCGGAGGCACTGCTGAGTTGGCGACCGAAATGGGCCATTGGATGTCTGGATCAGCATTGTGAGTGAGGGGAATCACATTGTCGATTACCACGGGTGATAGCGGCGATAAGCTGGATGTGACTTGGCTCCCCTGCACCCATGGGGGAAATTAAAGGACATGGTTTGTCGGTATGTCGTATGTGCTGCTGCTGTGTCAGTGTCAGGATAAGTGGGCTGAGAACGAGAATGAGCCTATGGTTGCATGTATATGTATGTATGTGTAGTGCGAGATAGGGAGAGAAGTTGCCTTCCTGGCTGCTGCATTTAAAGGGCCGAGGAGCGTCACACAGTCTGCAGGCAGAAGCGTTGTTGGTTGGCCCCCGGAGCGGATGTCACCCCACTTCGTTGAGTTTGTAATGGATAGACTCCGCCTCTCCCGATTGAGCCATAATGGCTAACTGATCTCCTTGCCATCACCACATGCACATACATGCAGACATGCATGCATGCATGCATACATACATACATGCTTACGTTATATTTTGCAACTAATCGATGTCTCAATTATTGGCCATACACGCCTGGGCAATAATCGACGCATCGATTAGTTTTATTGATGTGATGTAATAAAGTTATTTTGAAGCTAATTATGATATTTTGGATTATAATGTACTATAACATATTATAGTATTATTATACAGTGTATTGCATGATTATAATTATCTTAATATAGTTATCATTATTTATACGCGCTAAACCGCTCGAGAGGATTTCTTGAAGGCTAGCTACTACAGCAGCATTCACAAGGATACACGTTACTATGGTACATGTTACTATGGTACATACCTGCTGTTGCTGCTGCTCCTTGCGGAGGTGCCGGCGGCGGTACAACACGACGAGCACGAACACCACCAATATCATCAGAACCACTACACCGCTAACGGCTGATGCCGCGATGATGACCAGGCTGAAACGCCGATGACTGCCCGCCGTATCCTGCTGCTGGTTCTTGATCGCCAATAATGCTGCTGTTCCATTTGCTTTCGTTCCATCAACAGCGGCCTGTGCCGTCACAGTAGCCCTCGCGTCCCGGTACTGCATCCACGAAGAAGTACGCCGGCAAGCAGATAGATTTGGGCTATAGACAAAGTAGTAAAATAGGAGATACCGCTTATCTTTACACAATCACAATCTGTAATAGTGATAAGGAATGCACGTGTAAATTCTCAAGGTTATATTGAAGACAGCCGCTGAAGTGATGGACTCGAAAGCTAACGTGCTCTCAACACTGTTTCAGTTTGCATGCGTGCATGTGTGCGTGTGTGTGTGTGTGTGTGTGTGTGTGTAGTGTGTATGTGTGTGTCTGTTGTATCACGTCTTCTTGCAGAAAAGATTTTTTTTACCGATCGGCGGATGACAGATCCCGTGATACCCAGGATATTACAGTGTCTCACATCTTTAGATGCGTTCCCTTCAAAGCTGTAATAACCGGACCATACGAGCCATGGGAGGGCCAAAGGCCTGAGAATTGCCAACACTGGCTGACTGAAAGGATGGACAGCTATCCGAGTGAGGTCTATGCTCTGAGACATTGTTGTTCTGGACGGTAGTAAGCTCTTCGTCAGTGGCTGGTCGGCTCCTGGTCAAATTTCATGAGGGCCCTTTCAAGTCTTGATCGAGGTTAGGCGGTGCCAAGTAGACCGTCCAGGGAGTGTGCGGCGGTTTTGGTGGTTGGTTGCTGTTAGAGGCACCCATTGTTTGTCAACTCCCTCTGCTGGTGGGGGCCCCGTTAAGGGTGCTAGCCTCAGTCGGTGAAAACCTAGGCGGCTATTGGGAGTGCAGAGCATGCAGGGGGGTGCCTCTTATGCTCCGTGCCGTCGTTACGGTGATACGGGATTCACATTGGTACCTACCATCTTAGCATGGGTCTTTTATTTGCAGCCAGTAGTATATATTCTAGTGCTACAGACAGCTCTGTTTTACATATTAAGCAGGCGGCTGGCAGAGGATAAGGCCTCATTATTGCTCCCGGAGTGGTCAGGTTCAAATCCGTCTGCCAGTCTCTCTTTAATATGAGAGATGGTGAGATGGGAGGTGGCACTATCTCATATGAATATCGAAGGACGTGATAATGTACAATTTTCAAATCGTCCAGGAACTAAGTTGAAGCGCCGTTGATCCGCTAGATTTGGTTGGATGCTGGTGGTGAGTTGCTGAACCCATCGAATACACTCTGAAGTCGGATAGGGTGAATGGATTAGGGTGCCCCTCTAGCAGGGGAGAGCAGGGAATGCCCCGGGAAAGGGGGCCGCTGGTGAAGCTACGCCACCCTGTAACAACATACATACTGGCAGGCGGCTGGCAGAGGTTAAGGCCTGACTTCTGCTCCCAGTCGACCCAGTCGACCCGGGTTCAAATCCGCCTGCCGGCTCCTCGGGTGTTTGAGGAGTGATGAAATGGGAGGTGGCCCCCCATCTTATGGACGGTGTAGGACGTGATAATATCAACTTGCGAGCTGACCAGGAACTAAGTTGATGCGCCGTTGATCCGCTAGATTTGGTTGGATGCTGGTGGTGAGTTGCCGAACCCAACGAATACATTCTGAAGTCGGATGGGGTGACGGATTAGGGTGCCCCTCTAGCAGGGGAGAGCAGGGACTGCCCCGGGAAAGGGGGCCGCTGGCGAAGTTGACCACCCTGTAACAACATACATACTGGCAGGCGGCTGGCAGAGGTTAAGGCCTGACTTCTGCTCCCAGTCGACCCAGTCGACCCGGGTTCAAATCTGCCTGCCGGCTCCTCGGGTGTTTGAGGAGTGATGAAATGGGAGGTGGCCCCCCATCATATGGACGGTGTAGGACGTGATAATATCAACTTGCGAGCTGACCAGGAACTAAGTTGATGCGCCGTTATCCGCTAGATTTGGTTGGATGCTGGTGGTGAGTTGCCGAACCCAACGAATACATTCTGAAGTCGGATGGGGTGACGGATTAGGGTGCCCCTCTAGCAGGGGAGAGCAGGGACTGCCCCGGGAAAGGGGGCCGCTGGCGAAGTTAACCACCCTGTAACATACATACTACCGGTGATCGATCTCTTCAAACCGAGCAAATATTATTATTGTTATTATTATTATATTGTTATTATTATTGTTATTATTATATTGTTATATTATTGTTATTGTTGTAACGCTAACGTCATTTTTATTAAATATTATTGATGATGAGCCCATCAGTGTATATTTATATCCCTTCGCTCTATCTGTCCCAATGTAGCCAGCGAGCAAGACAGAGATAAAGTACCCATCATGCCTTCCAAACCCGGTTAGCACGTACCGCAGTGCCTGTAGTTATCCAAGAGCCGGTTGATATATTTGGTGGACAGATGCCTTCAATAGCCATGACTGTGTTGTACAAGGTCTCTCCGAGCGCCTGTAAGTCCCGTGATGGGTCCAGCTACAACACGTGGGCAGAAGGGTTTCAACCGAGCGATGCGCATGAGGGTACGTGTCGGTCAGTTAATAAGACGGCCGGAGCGGCACATCAGTTCCGCCCAGGCAGCCTGTTTGTGTGTGTGCATGTGTATGTGCACATATGTGTGCGCATGCGTGCAATGTGGATGTGCGCAAATGTCCGTGAGCGTGTGTGAACGTATGTGAACGTATGTGGATGCGTGCGAATGTGTGTAGGTTACAAGTATCTGACCGGGCCTGACACTTTCCAGGGGCTGCTGCCCAGCCCCAAAGGAGGAAAGACAGCCTAAGCTCTCGCCCGCAGACGGGAGAGGGGCGCTAGAGGGACCGCCGTCCCGTCCTAAGAAGCCGGGGAGCCGCAGGTCCGCTAGCTCCGCTCTCCTCCCCCGGGGGTGGGAGGCGTCGCACGTCATGCGTGTCACGTCGTGTGTGTTTGTGTGTGTGTGAATGTGTGTTAATGTGTGCAGATGTGAATGTGTGGATGCGGATGCGTTTCAAACCCGTGCGTTTCAAACCTGGCTGCCATGCATTGAACTCGTTGCCGCAAATTCGATACCGCACAACATCCCTTTAGACGCCGGGTATATTTATTCGTACTTCCTTACCGTACCTTGAAATTGGCCTTGAATTCCACTACTCGCCCAGAAGAGCATTCCTATCGGAATTTAGGTATACACCATCCAGCAGTCACACATACGTAGAGCGGCACTGCTTAAATAAGGAGGGGACTCTAGAATGGTAAAGAGGATGCTTGTGTCACACCCTAAGTTGTGTGCTTTCAGCAGCAGAAAGCGATGCGTTGCTTAAATGCCAGTACGGTTGATGAAGTTAAGTTGCTACCAAGCAGCACTAGCCGTAAGCGCGGGTATATACGTATCTACGTATGTACATATACGTATGTACGTATGTATTCCGTACCAAACCGTGTACATTATATTTGTTATGATGCAATACCGTACAAGATATACGGCAGTTCTATTCACATTATTTGCAAGACATGTCCTGTAAAGAAACTCCCGCCGAAAACAGGGATTGATCCAATGTATATGTGATACAAGCCCATGTGTTCGATGTGAAATACGCCGCCAATTAGTTATCCATACCGGCAGATATGTTGCTCCACACACACCGGCATGTTACCTATATACGCGCATACATACACACGTACGGCGGCGCACCTCATTACTATTCTGCAGGAGTTGTCGCCTCCTCAGTCGCGCACCATTTCTCAATATTGATAACGCCAAAGAAGTTTTGCTGCTGCTGCTGCTGCTGCTGCTGCCGCCGCCGCTGCTACTGCTGCTGCAAGCAATGGTCACGTTTTCGCTCGGCACGTAGACATTTTCCGTGAAGTTAGTTCTCAATTCTGTCTGTGACGTATCTGTGCAATCTGATTGAGTCGCGGCGACCTGCGGTGGCGTTTCATTGAGGTGTGTGGGACATTAAATATGGACCCGCCGCCGGCAACTTTACCCCAGTCGCCCAGTGGTTATGTATGACTCTGCACTTTTGGAGGGTAACGCAACTCTTGGTTGGGTGGAACACACTTACATACGTGTAAGCTTAGCAATCAAATCAAAACATTTTTCACACGCAATGCATGGTAGGCTAATAACCCCGACATGCATGCATGCATGCGTACAAAGACTGCATGCACGCTCGGTTACTAAATAGCTGTCCTAAATAATAATAATAATAATTATTATTATTATTATTATTATTATAATTATTATTATTATTATTATAATAATAATAAAGCATTAGGAACCCACCCACGGTCAACCCACTGGTCATCACCCAGCCAGGACGACAGCATTGCGCAACCCCCTAATTCGACTAACAGCGTAACAACGAATGCTTAAAAATGCATCTAATACATTTTAACGTTGGCATGAAAGAGTAACGTTAGCAGCCGTACTGCACCTACCTGTACAACTACACTTAACCAAATGTGGTCAACCTCCATTCCAGCAGGCGCAGGAGCTGGTGGCGGTGGGGGTGGCGGTGAAGCTTGCGATGAAACGAGTGGCCACTGGCGAGAGGGCTCGTCACTTGGTGAAGGAGCGGGTCGTGGGCGTGGAGGTGGAGACGAAGGAGGTGGTGGAAGAGGAGG